TCTTTGTGATTGGTTAGATACATTTCTTTTCATTGATTGGGCCCACAGTCCTATAAACAATTAAGCACATGACAGTGTGACTTCTCATGTGGTTAAAATTACTCACATGCTTAAATGCAGGATCAGGGCCTCATTCAGCATAATTCTTATCCTCAGATTTCTGGCGTGAATGCTTGGAAAACACACTTAAAATTGCAAATGCCTTTCATTAGACTTTCCCCTTGGAGCATTGATACCATTGAACGTAGAATTCTCAGACAGTTCAGGAAGAACTGGGCATTCAAGTCTTATTAAGCAGAATATTATTACAAGGGCAAAACTTTTGCACATAGGGCAAGGACTCGATGTTCAAGCATTACGATTTTTCTGTGCAGATGAAAAAAAATAGAAACAAAAATATGTGACAATAATTTGAGAACTTCAGTTTCCATTTTCACACAATTTCATTGTTATCAAAAAGTTTACAACTGGCTCTATTATTATTCCTCAGATGAGAACCTGTCTTTACTTGCAGTCATGATGATCATGCCGGGTAACTGTTGTGCATATTGATAAATATTGGAGATGATCAGAAAATGAGAAGCCATTTCAAAATTCAACCTTTTGAGAAAAATGTTCATTGGAATTTTTGAAATTTGAAAAATTGCAATTCACAAAATAGAGCTCTTTTGTAATTTCTCTGAAATATTCCTTCCTTTCCTTTTTTCTTTCTCAATCCAAAATGCCAATGACATTTTTTTTATCAAAAAAATCAAAATTTCAAAAAACGTCAACCAGTTCTAAAAAAAATATACTCAGTTAGAAAGGACTTTACAAGCAACTTATTGGAGAACTGGAAACAATTCTTTGTCACAATCATTCAAAATTTAAATGTAAGGATACAGGTTTGTTCCTCAGATCAAAGAACAGCCTACCTACATTTTCCCATGATTCAGGATCCAAGCCACTATTATTAGACTATCTGCTGCCCTTCTCACACCTACACAGTGTCTTCAGAGAATTGCCCTTATTTGTTGTGCAGGATTTCAATGCTGCAGGCTATCAAGAAAATTAAATGGGAGCAATCACTTCTCATTAAAACTTAAGTCCACAGAGCCAGGGAATTTACTGATGTGATTTGTAGGAGCTGAGATTATTTCTTTTTTTAGAGATGTTGGCCTGCGTTAAATGATTTTTAGCTTATTGTTTTTCATGCTCTGGGACTTGTTATCATATGTAAGTAGTTTCCGAAGAAGGGCATGTATCCTATGTGTGGTCATTACTTGATAATAAAATAGAATACCAGATAGTAGAACAAAATACTGCTGTGTTTGCAGAGGGTAATCAACAGTAGAAAAACAAAATCTCCTCTGGCTTTCAAGTGAACCTTAACTATTTCATCATTCAGTTAATGATGCAAATCTTCGAGCTCTATTGGAAATGCCTATGTCTGAAAATAGGGGAACAAATGCATTATGGTTTCAGTGGTCCCAATGCATTTGGTTCTTTATAGCCAGTGAGGGCTATATTTTCCTCTCACTTCTACCCAGGTGACCCTCACGGAGTTCAATGGAGTTGCACCAGAATTTAGTCTGGAATGAGTACTACCATACATTCTGTTGTTCTGAATTTAACTCCTTATCATAATGCCTTGTGCTAGACAACTGAAGCCAGCAGAGCACTTAAGTATGTGCTTATCTTTAAGCACATGAACTATGCCACTGGTGGGTTTTGGGTTGTTTTTTTTTTTTTTTTGTTCCCTTCTCATGGGGTCGTTTACCTCCTCACATTATTTAGAATCTATTTGTTTCCTTGACTTCAAGACTCATAGAATCATAGAATCATAGAATATAAGGGTTGGAAGGGACCCAAGAAGTTCATCTAGTCCAACCCCCTGCTCGAAGCAGGACCAATTCCCAGTTAAATCATCCCAGCCAGGGCTTTGTCAAGCCTGACCTTAAAAACCTCTAAGGAAGGAGATTCTACCACCTCCCTAGGTAACGCATTCCAGTGTTTCACCACCCTCTTAGTGAAAAAGTTTTTCCTAATATCCAATCTAAACCTCCCCCACTGCAGCTTGAGACTATTACTCCTCGTTCTGTCATCTGATACCATTGAGAACAGTCTAGAGCCATCCTCTTTGGAACCCCCTTTCAGGTAGTTGAAAGCAGCTATCAAATCCCCCCTCATTCTTCTCTTCTGCAGGCTAAACAATCCCAGCTCCCTCAGCTTCTCCTCATAACTCATGTGTTCCAGACCCCTAATCATTTTTGTTGCCCTTCGCTGGACTCTCTCCAATTTATCCACATTCTTCTTGAAGTGTGGGGCCCAAAACTGGACACAGTACTCCAGATGAGGCCTCACCAATGTCGAATAGAGGGGAACGATCACGTCCCTCGATCTGCTCGCTATGCCCCTACTTATACATCCCAAAATGCCATTGGCCTTCTTGGCAACAAGGGCACACTGCTGACTCATATCCAGCTTCTCGTCCACTGTCACCCCTAGGTCCTTTTCCGCAGAACTGCTGCCTAGCCATTCGGTCCCTATGTTGATGGACCTGTGCAAAATTGAAATGGAGGCAGTGGGGGGACAATGTGATTGATACTATACCACTGAGATGCACACAGCTTCCCAGCTTGCAACAAGGTTTAAATAGCATGACTTTGGGCATGTCATACAGCGTCAGCCCCCGTCACCATGTGGTCAATAACAGCACATGCAACTGGCAACTTGTAAATGAGTTTCTATAACAGAGGCACATTATTGCTCTATTAACGGAAGGCTAGCTTAAATTGCTATTTTTTAACCCAAGGAGAGAGTGTGGTTTAGTGGCAAAGTAAGTATAGGACCCTCAATACTGCAGTGTCTGAGCACCTCATAATCATACTGCATTCACAGCGCTCTCGCAAGGTAGGTTATCGCTATTTTTACTAATGGAGGACAGAGGCAGAAAGAGATTAAGAGCCAGATTTTCAAAGGTATTGAGGCACCCAATTATGCAGCTAGTCACCTAATGGGATTTTAGCCCCCTAAATACCTCCAAAAAGCGGCTGCTAAGTGACTTGCCCAAGGTCACACAGGAAGCCTGTGGAAAAGCAGAGAATTCAACCCACTTCTCCTGATTCGCTGGTTCCTTCAGCACTAGACTAATCATCCTTTCGTGAGAAGGACCAATAGTTTCTAGCCTCGATTCTACCATTGACCTGTAGTGTGACTCCAGGGAAGCCTCAGATGGCACGGCCCTAAAATGAATGTATTGAAACTGCTACTCACCTGGTATCTATGCTAGTTTTCTGAATTCTTTTAGTGAGAACAACTAATAGGCTCTTCATCCCACGAGCAGGCCGAAGACTCCAGGAGTGTGCACTGTGTTTCCTAGGAGGAGAAATGAGGAATACGAGGAATTTCACTTGATCTAGACGTGGAGTGTAATTGTTTTCCTGGGATGTGCAAAAAGCATGAAGGCAATTTATTTGTTTCAATGGCATGAGGGGAGGAGGGAAGAGCAGGAGAGATATGTTCCAACCTGAGGACATGTACAGTGCGTGTGCACAGAGCTGAGAAAAAAAAGGTATGAGAGGTCAACCGTTAGCTAGCGATATGACAAGGATGATAGGGCTTGATTAAAATGAAGTGTGTAGCGGAGCTACTGAATCAGGAGAAAATGTATTTCACTTATATGTCTCTCTGTTCCTATGAGCAGTGGAAAGAAAAGTGTTTTCATCCTTCAGGCCTTATTTATGTCTCCTTTATCATCCTCAGAGGTTTTGGTTTATAGAGGGTCAGAATCTTAATCGGTATAAATCATTGTACGTCCATTGACTTCATTGGAGGGGACTTCTTTAATGGAGCCACTCCGATTGACAGCGGCTGAAGATCTGGCCCAATAGCTATTTACCTTTCTAGCTTGCATGTAGTATTTAGAGCTGGTTGGCTGTATGCAGGGAAAGGGGTGACTGTGCTGTAATCCTGCTAAACTCTTTATGTGCAGTCCCATCAAAATTGGATCTAGATGGGAAGGCAGGATAGATGTGGGATTCCAGTTCCAGGCCCGTATCTACTCTTGCAGTCAGTCAAGTGGAATTTTGGGGGCCTGATTTAAAGCTCATTGATGTCAAAGAAAAGACTCCCATCAAGTTCAATGGGCTTTCGATCAGGTCTTTTATGGGACCGAGAACAACCTGTTTTAGTTAGAGTTGATATGGGGAAGAGTCGGTTCCTGTCACGGCTCCAGTTGGACAGTAGAGCAGGAAACACACAGTGACAGATGGGTAGCTGGATGGGAGTCTACATATCTTTTTTTGTGTACTGCCCGCTGAATCCCAGGGTCAGCCTCGCCACAAACTTCTTCTCCCTGTAGGGCCCTCGTTAGCTTAAGTTTAGTGACCCATGTATGTCAGACAATTGCTTCTTCAGGGTTCTTTCATAGTTTGCCAACCTCGCATAACTTGAATACTGGGCCCCTAGATATCCCCATTTCCTCATAGCCACACAAAGGCTCGGGCCATGAGGAGAACCTTGCAGCTTTGCCTCACACATTGTCTTGCACAGATTTCATGTGACAAAATGACACCAGTCCACTTTTTATGGTCAATTAATTGACATGCCCCCATTACCACTTAATGTAAATGACCTGTGCACAGCACCCACACTCTGCAAAATAACAACCCAAGGGTTTCCCATTCTGCTTCTTTTTACAAGGCTGGTTGCAACCTTCACCTTTTTGTTCAGATACTGGCCATTTTCCTGACAGGATGATGGGGTCCTAGGCCTCACAAGGCTGCTCATATCTCGTGACTCTCCCAGTCAGGTGGGATGGGAGGTGAGTGAAGAACGACAGAGACAGCTAGCTTCTACTCTCCATTACACTGATGTAAATCTGGTGTAACTCCACTGAGTTCAGAGAAGTTGCTTGACTTCAATAAAAGTCACCCCCTATTTACACTGGTGTAATCGACAGCAGAATCCACTAGCGGGAATAAAAGTAATAACAATAGGAAAGTTAATGAGCTAATGGAATATGTATTTAATAGAGAAAAACTAACATTCTTTCCAGGAAACATACACAAGAATAATGGGCTAGATATTAACTTATGAAATGTTGCCTACAGTAAGTTACTGTTGCATGTCTTTCTACTGTAGACAAAATGAATTGGAGGCTTTGACTTAACATAATGAAAATGTTCTGTATTTTCCTCAGTTGAGGAGTTTCTTTGAGACTTTATATTAATGTTTCATTATACATTAGATGGGAAAGAAATCTACTTGCTTTTTTTCTGCCAGCCTTTTTATCAGACATTAGAGTGTATTTCTACCGCAGTCGTGTGAAACAAGCAATTGTAGATGTTCGGAGCCCGTAGCAAGAAGTGCCCTTTGCTCGATGTTCTTCCCACATCAACATCTGTCATCAAATCTAGCAACAGCTAGTTTCAGGGGAGAGGTTAGAACGTTCCACTGTGATAACACAAGGCGTCGTCTCTTTCGGTTACTCAGGTGCGTACGAAAAAAACCCATAAAGGGTTCTGCTTAAATTTCCATCGCTGAAGAGTCACGCTCTGAGGAATTTGAAAAAAGAAAATAAGAGTCAGCAGATGAATAAAGATATGGTAAACTAAACCTCATTTACATCAGGCCAAATCCTCACCAGAAGGAGGAGTCCCATAGATTGATCACAGGACCCAAGTGAGTGGATTTGGCTCATTATTGTGCAATACTTTTCCCTACTCCAGAAGAAATATATTTGAAGTTTTTTGTTTCAACATTGCAAACTGCTGGACATGTAGTGAATGACCCTTGTGTTGGCATAGGTTATAGGATGGACAGTTTAATTATTTGTTTTTCTAATAATATTTCTGTGGGCTAAGCAGGTAGCACTGCCTGTAGTTAAGGTTGCCTAATATTACCATTATAAGTCCCTCTTTTCAGTTGCTTATATCTTTGCCACTTTAACCATTTGTGCAGAAATTTTCTATACCAGCTGTCTGTCTCAGGCAGATGATTATTATTGTAAGCGATGCCTGCTTGGCGGGGTGCTCTGTCCCTCTCTAGAAGTGGCTAGTGAATGATGAGTTTGCTACAGCTTTGGCTATGAGAACTGGGCCTTTTGGCTCAGGCATTAAGATCAAAAGTTCCCTGGTTCGATCCCCGCTGCCAATGACCCACTCAGGAGCATTGATGTTACATTGATTGATTAAAGTTTCAGCAACAATGGGTTAATTGTTTCCAAGAATGGAATGCATTATTTTTCCCATGTAAAAAAAAAAATTCTTACAACCATTTCATTGAGAAGCTTTTACACCTCCGTGCTTTAGAGCAGAGACTTGAAATGTGGCAGGGAGTTATCTTTGTGTCAGGGATGTGCCTTTTTACCTTCCCAAGATGAACTGTCCAAATTGGCCAAGTTATAAGACTCTAAAAAATCTCAGTGCCCACATGCTCACTTGAGACTTCTTAGAGTTTGGCAGCTAAATTCTCTGAAGATTCCCTCTACCCTGAGCATGCTCCAGCCCAGTACTGCTATGGCTGAGCAAGACTTTCCCGGTAACTGATGCTTCCAACTGTTGCAGGCTGTGGAATGAGGCATAGTCCTGTGAAAAAGGAGTATGTGATCATGTAATTAAAGACTGAATGATAACGCATATAGACAAGCAGGAGGTGCATAGAGATTGGGCAGGCAACCTCCACTCCAGCATTTCCCAACATCTGCATGTTCAACTTTGCAACTTTAACATTCTTTTAACATATAGTGGTTTGGGACGTAATTATTTACATACAGAGATGCCTAGAGGCCCCATCTGTGACTGAGGATGCCATTGTGTTGGGTCAGGGATCGGCAACCTTTGGCACGCAGCCCATCAGGGAAATCCGCTGGCGGGCCGGGACGGTTTGTTTACCTGCAACGTCCGCAGATTCAGCCGATCACAGCTCCCACTGGCCGCGGTTTGCCATTGCAGGCCAATGGGGGCTGGGGGAAGTGGCGTGGGTCGAGGGATGTGCTGGCCTCCACTTCCCGCAGCCCCCATTGGCCTGGAATGGGGAACCGCAGCCAGTGGGAGCTGCGATCAGCTAAACCTGCAGACGCTGCAGGTAAACAAACCATCCCGGCCCGCCAGCGGATTTCCCTGATGGGCCGCGTGCCAAAGGTTGCTGATCCCTGTACTAGGCATTCTGCAAAGAGACTGTTTGCCTCTAAATAGAGAAGATGAGCAAAAAGCTGAGGACTTGGGAGGGAAAACAGAAGAACAGACTGGTTAAGTGGGTTGGGCAGTTCCATGCAGCAGGTTGGAAATGGGAAGATAAATGAGGACTTCTGAGTCCCAGTTCAATTTCCTGTCCTAGACCAGTGGTTCTCAACCAGGGGTACATGTACCCCTCGGGGTACACAGAGGTCTTCCAGCAGGTATATCAACGCATTTAGATTTTTGCCTAGTTTTACAACAGGCTATAGAAAAAACACTAGCAAAGTTAGTACAAACTAAGATTTCATACAATGACTTGTTTATATGGCTTTATATACTATACACTGAAATGGAAGTACAATATTTATATTCCAATTGATTTATTTTATAACTATATGGTAAAAATGAGAAAGTAAGCAATTGTCCAGTAATAGTGCGCTGGGACACTTTTGTATTTTTATATCTGATTTTGTAAGCAAGTAGTTTTTAAGTGAGGTGAAACTTGGGCGTATGCAAGACAAATCAGACTCCTGAAAGGGGTACAGGAATCTGGAAAGATTGAGAGCTGTTGTCCTAGACGCTCAAAAGGAGTCACTGCCTCTTGGTAGGTGTCACACTCATCCTCCTTGTGTGGCCCAGGCAAGGGCAACTCACGAGAAATCCCACTGATTTCTTGTGCTGTACTCTGTCTTGTGAGCAAATCACTGGAAAGGGTGGAGAGAAGCAAATCATCTCAAAGGAGGCAGAGCCATGGCTCCATCCTGCCCCACAACAGCTCATAGAGGAAGCCCTGGAGTAATGTGCTGCCTCCTAGTAAATGGAGCAAAGTGACTACCAAGCAGCTTTGGAGGAGATAGGGCCCTCCACCACCAGAGCAGTGTCCCTGTGCACCGCCCTTTATTCAGGGGGGTGCAAAACTCACTATCCACTCCACATAGTAAGATTTGGACACAACCTAGATTCAGTTGTATGGGTGTATTTTAGCAGCTTTTCTACGATTCTATGGTGAATCCCAATGCTTCCTTTGACAGCTGTATCTACCAGATTTAATTAAGGAATAGAGCTACAGGAACTCATCCCTTTAGATTCACTTGGGTTCTTGTGTCTGTTTTTAGTTGCAGGTCGTGGGTTTAGAGCTCCTGAGCTTCCCTTTGAGATTAGTTATTTGACTGAGTTTAAATCTGATTGTATCAATCACCCACTGCACCCACCGGCCTACCCACACTTCTGCTTCTGCCCCTCTATCCTAGGGATTACACTGATATAGAGACTACCCCAATGGACATAACGGGTGCTAACCCCCAGTTTAGGTAAGGTTATAGACCACACACTCAAAGGCATTTAGGTGCCTATCACCCATTGATTTCAATGGGAGGATATGGGCCCATATCTCTGACCAAGGGCTATGTCTCTGACCTGCTCTCCTTTCCCAGTCTCTCTCCACCCACCTCTGCTCTGCTAGTGACACCCACATCAATACTCCTTTCATTTCCTTCTCATACAAATATCTCTGCATCTTCTTCCATTCTTCCCTTTATACTTGGGACAGCCTCTCAGAATCTGTCTGCTAAGTCACCACCCTAATTCAAGTCACTCCTAAAGACCTGTTTCTGCAGTGTCATCTACCAAAAATGAACATGCTTACAGCCTTTAAAATAAAAACAAACATATTGGAATGTCCAGCACACACACAGGTCTAAAGTGCAAAACCCTGCAATAATATAATTTGTGTCTTTCCTTAATTTTTTTATGCTTTGTCTTCTCTTGTCTGTCAGCTCCAGTTAGACCACAAACTTTTAGAGCAGAGAACTGTCTCTTACGGTTTCTCTGAACAATCAGCATCAGCATATTTCTGGGTGTTAGCGTGCTCAGAGGGAACCTGAGATGTAACTACTATGTTTAGACTAATTTTGAGACAAAGCCTCAAAAACCAAACATTTTTTTGCATGGTTTCCACACAAAACCCAAAATTGATCTGCATCCTTTCCTCTACCCACCCTTAACGTTGCTGGCTGAGATTTTCAGGAGTGGAAAAGAGATTTAGGAACACAAGTTCCCATTCAATGGAACATCACTTAAGGGCTTTTGAAAGTCTTTCCCCTGATTTTCTGACATTCTTAACTGGGGCTTTCAAAGGAGGCCATAGGAATTCAGCCCCCTGATACCACAGAATTTCAGTGGAAACTGGGTGCCTAATTCCCTGAGGCTCTTTTGCAAATCTCAGCCTTTGTGCTTACACATGCAACTTCAACATTCTCTTAACCCAGATTTCACTTCACTAAAGGCCAGACTGAGGGACACACTGTGCACCGACGCCTGGGATCCTGGGATCCAGGAGGTTTACGGTACCTCCTTACACTCCTGCACCATAAACTGGGCAGCAGCTCAGAAGTGGAGAATAGCCCCACAAGGCTGCTGTGTCCCTCACTCCCACTCATATAGGCAGCAAGTGTCAGGGAATGGGCAGAGCCAAGGCTGTTGTTGCAGCCAGCAGAAGTGCACTGAGGGATGTACACTGCAACAGGTGTGGATCTGGTACGTCTGGCACTGAGTAGAGGGGAACCAGGAATTAAACTGAGACTCTGAGAGTCATGATCAGCTTCCTGGCCTGCTCCTGAGGCCCTGTAATACTGTGCTCACCAGAATGGCTAACACATCAAGCCCCAGTGAGCGTACACCTGTGTAGGTTTGAATCCCTCTTCTGTTAGGCCTGAGCTGGTTGTTGCCTCTTTAGAGAAGATTTAGAGGTGACTTGATCATGGCCTATAAATACAAATATTTGATAATGGACTCTTCAACCCATCGGACAAAGCTATAGCACAATCCAATGGCAACAAGTTGAAGCTAGAAACATTCAGATGGGAAATAGGATGTACATTTTTAACAGTGAGGGTAATCAACTGTTAGAACAATTTATCAAGGGCCATAGTGGAATCTCTACCAGTGGCAATTTATAAAATCGAGATTGGATTTTTTTAAAAAGATCTGCTGTAGGAATAATTTTGGAGACATTCTATGGACTATGTAATACATGAGTTTGGACTAGATCAGGGATCGGCAACCTTTGCACACGGCCCGTCAGGGAAAGCCCCGGTGGGCCAGGCCGGTTTGTTTACCTGCAGCATCCACAGATTCGGCCGATTGCAGCTCCCACTGGCCAATGGGAGCTGCTGGAAGCGGCGGTCAGTATGTCCCTCGGCTCGCGCCACTTCCCGCAGCTCCCATTGGCCTGGAGCAGCGAACCGCGGCCACTGGGAGCCGCCATCGGCCGAACCTGTAGACGCGGCAGGTAAACAAACCGGCCAGGCCCGCCAGGGGCTTTCCCTGCACAAGCGGCGGAACAAATTTGGGAACCACTGGACTAGAATATCATACAT